CGCGCCTCCCTGACACCATCCCCGTACCTCCCTGACACCATCCCCGCGCCTCCCGGCGCTCGCAGCAGTCTCGATTATGCTGGCTCCCTTACGCGCTCACCTCATCAGTGCTGCACCCCCTGCCATGAACTCTCACCAGCTCCTTAGCTTTCGAGCAGAATAGGGTTCCGTGGCCAGGGCTGAGAAATGGGTCAGCTCAGGGGATCGTGGATCCTCCGCTTTTATTCTTGATGTCTACACACACAAACATTTACCAACAAGTCCCGGGAAAGGCGTCGATCCCAGGGGTCTGCGGCTAGCAGGGGAAGGTGGCTGGAGGGGGCGGCTGCGGCGGGCCCTGGCGACACGGCGGGGGCTCCCCTGGGTGGGAGCACACCATCTGACCGAGGAGACTCCATTCATCCCCGGGAAAACGGGTTAATGCAGACTCAGATGTCTTCGTCAGACTGACTGGCTGCTCTCCAGCCAGAGTCATCACAAAGACCCAATTCAAAGGCTCTTCCTATCTGGCTTCAGCATCTTGCAAAGAGAACAGAAAACATCTCACAGAAGGCAACTCTGCCAAAATATGGGAAACGAAAGCAGAGGGCACAAATTCTCTGTGTCATGTCTCCAGTCTGCTCCACAGCCCGGCCCTGGCCTCCCTCCCCCCGGTGTAAATCAGGAAGGATCTACTCGGGTGATGCCAGTCAGCGGAGGCACAGCAGAAACGGAGAGGGACCCCTCGCTGACAGAGCGCCATTGTGAGGAGTCCTCATTTGTATTTCACGCCTTCTGCTGAGGGATGCGAATGACCCAGAGGAGCTCTGCAGGCTGGCAAGTGAAGGAAGGCTTTGTGCCCGAGGCGGTACCAGAGGACGCAGCCCAGCGGGACCCGGGCCAGCGGTGTAGCGCGGGCTCTGGTCAGGAAAGCACCGGAGGCGAGGCCAAGGGTCTGGAGCAGGCCGGGGCTCGCTCCGAAACTCGCACCCGCTCAAGGCTGCAGGGCGGCACCGGAGACAGCGTTACCTCCCGCGCATCCCGTGCCAGCGCGGGTGCACCTGCGAACACGGCGGGGTGCAAAGCGCTCCCCTGCAAGCTCCTGCGCGCGAGCGCTTCTGCTGAGCCGTGGCAGAGCCCTTTCTCACCGAGGTGTGCCCGACACCTTTGCAGTTCATGTTCCTCACAAGAAACAAAATCCAAAGCCAAACCACAAAGACCTCCAGGCCACCTGCAATCAATCCCTGCCCTCCGCCACCTCTCTTCACCACTTGTGAACAGTGTCCTGCCACGGTCACTGCCCGACGCCTCCACCTGGAGTACGCTGCCCCATCAGCAGGGACCAAGGAAGGGCTGTAGGCTGCCAGGTGAATCCCTGTCAGTGCTCCGAGCCCCCCGCTGCCACGGCTACGGCACCAACCGTGCCGAGACAGGCGCCTGCCAGCCAGGCACCGGCCAGCTCCGGAGCAGGAGGTGGCATGGCTCTCGGAGCAGAGCGTGCTCCGGGATGTAGACAAAGAGTAATCCTTACACACCTTAAGGGCTACCTGAGAAGAAAACAGCCTGAAGGACACTTTAATACTGTCATCTGAACGTTTGCAGACTGTTGCCCTCTTGACTTAAGTGTTCCATAAACACAGAGGGGAAAATAAGCTTGACCTTGTCGCATGACTCTCTTCTAAATATGTGCTGGCCCTACCGTTAATGCAGACAGCTCAATCAGGAGGGGTTCTTCTCTCAGCCCTGGGCACGTCCACGTGCTGGTAACACAGAGGCCTGCTGCAAAACCCACCGGCTGCAAAACCTTCGCCACCCTTACACTGCTGCGGCTTCTCAGAGAGGCGCTCTACACACAGAGTTGTACAGGGGGATTCTGAAGGGCAGGATGGCGATCGAGTATCATTTCTCAAATCCTGTATTTATTAAACGTTGGAGACTCCAGATGGGCTGGGCTGAATCCAAGCCCCAAGAGTTCTCCAAAACATCTCCATTTCTGAGCTGGTTCAGAGCCAGCCCCATTTCAAGCTGCCGCCGAGTAACGTGGAACCTGGACTTCTTGATAGCAGACAAGGGAAAAATAATCTTTTCTGCTCAACATGTGCAGGATTTGCTTTTTATAGTTTGTTTCTTTAAAAGTTTGGTCTGTCTGAAAGACTCATTAGATGCTTTATTTAAATATTTCATAACAAAAGCTTTATGACTATAATCAAGTTCGGACTGCCGGCCTCTGCTGCTCTTTCTCCCTCCCACTCTAACATGTGCTTATCAATGGAAAGTATTTTATTCTCAGTAGCACTGAATGAACAAAAGGGAGAAGAGGGAAAGCAGCAAGGAGTATCTCCTGATCACCGGTCGAAACAAGCACTCCTCACTCAGGACGGAGACGGTGCTGGAATCAGGCCAGCAGAGAACCCAAAGAATTCAGGAAAAGGTTTTGGAGCCTCTTATGATTGAAAAATCAGACTAAAAGTCACAGCACGGACTGTTTCCTGCCAGCAGCTGAAAGCCAGCATTGGATGGGGAAGTTTCTGAAAGCATGAAGTCGAAAAGTAGTACAACAATTGTCTACTTTTTAAAAACAAGAAAAAAAAAACCCAAACAAACAGGAGAAAAAAATCGAATTCAAACATAGTAATAGAAAACAAACAAATCTGTTCAAATTTAAAACAAACAAACAATCAAGCCTTACCTTGGTGAACCCTATTTGCTCCTTCCGGAAGTTTTCCAAAGGTTTGATCAGCAGATCACTAGCGTTTTGTACCTACAGCACAAAGAAAGAAACAGTTTAATTACAGGACGCACATTCATTTTCTCCTAAATAGAGGCTGAACAGGGCTAGAGGCCAAGAACTCTTAGATTTTAACGTCTCTGACTTGCAAACTTGTTCTCTGTCTGTAGGTGAAGTCACTTAACCCGTCCGTACCCACGTTTCCCCATCCGTAATACACAGAAAACCCCAATCATGGCACGCGAGGCTTCGGGGACATTCTGTCCATGACAGACGGGTTTCCCCCAGCTTGCCACCAGCCCTGGGCCGCAGGCCGTGCTCAGGCAGGGCAATCCCGTCAGTGACAGCACCGGCCACCCACCCTGTTTTAAGAGAACCGCCGTCCCTGTCGGGCACGGGAAGGGCTGAGAGGTGGGCAAAGCAGGCTGGCTGCTGGGTGAGCCCTCACTAGGAGCAGGCTAGGCTGGTTGTTTATCTCTCCAAGAAGCACAAAACAGAACAAATATATTCTCAAAGCACACTGGAGACTGCTACTTACTTGTCAGCTCCGCTGGGTGCCTGCCTGCAGCGAGCTGCCCTGCCTCGCTAAGGGGCGGGAAGGGAGCGGAGAAGACGTGCTGCTGCTGCAGCTGCTCCCCCTCCGCCGCTGCCGCCGGCTCCTCTGCTCCAGGCAACGCGGCCGCGCTCCCTCCTGCCACCCAGGCACCCCGCTGCACTAGCCCTGCTTTCCACGACAGCATCCACCCTTGTCTTCCGTGCAAAGCTTAGATGGGTCAGTAAGATCCCGGAGGCAGGGACCTGTTGAGCTGCTAGCACCTCCCAGCGAACACAGCAGATGCTCATGCTGGTGAGTTCACTGCCAGAAAGTGGCTGCCACAGTCCCAAAATGAGCTGTTTTTCAACGTTGAGCAACCCATAAGAGCTCAGCAAGGCCACGATGGGCAGGAGCTGCTTCTCAGAGAAGGTGTGATGAAGGCCCCAGGCTCAGGCGAGCAGAAGGCAGAGCTGGGGCTGGCTCCCTGCCGTGGCTTTCTCATGGTCTGGCATTTCTCACCACAGACAGCACTGGGCTTGATGGCTCTAGCAACACGGCTCTCAAATAAATGATGGACTTTCCTTCTCCTGAGATCCAGCCAGAAGAGGAATGACAGCAGGTTATCTGTCACAGCGGGAGAGTAACAATAACAGCTAGGGAAAAAGGAAAGCCTGCCTGTGCCTCTCCCAGTCCTGCCAGATGTCCGAAAGACGCTTTCCTGGGACATGCTCTGCGCTCCCTCTCCACGGATCCACAGGCAAGCTCACCCCAGTTTGTATGACTGGCTCCAGCTCCACCCTGGCACTGGGACAGGACCCACCACCTCTTCCCGTCCCCACTTCTACTGCGACAGGCTGCCTCCCGAGCTCCAGAGGAGGGAAGAGAAGGGGACACAACACTGCACTGCCACAGCCCTTTTAGGTACTTTAAAGCTGATCAATATGGTGACAGTGTGAAACCTTCTGAGTGAGCTACTGTAAAGGATTGGTCCTACAAGTGGAGGGCAAAAAAAAGATTTAGAAAAGTTGGGCAGCATCCCTAAAAGCATCCATGATCCCTTCCACTCACTTACCCACTGCCAAAGGGGCCACTATATCTGGGATGTAACTAATGAAGAAATATCTTACTGCTTTCCTCCTGCCTCTTACTGGTTTCCTCCCGTTCCCTGCCTGTCTGTGGACCCGTGGAGCAGATGGTGGTGTCCCGCCAGCACAGCCACCCCTGCGGCGCTGGCCCAGCCAGCAGCCTGGCACGAGCTCCCATTGCTGCACAAGGCAGAGGAACGCAGAGCCAAGCAGCACATTCCTGGCATGCTGTAAAAGCTCTCTACTGAGCCTAACCTTCGTGTTTTTCCTGGAATTAGGAGTGAAACGGGAAGCCAGCACTCGCTCTGGAGGAGCTCTGGAGAGGCAGAGGGCACAACGCAGCGGGAAACCAGAGGCAGCGCATCGCCCTGCGGGAGCTGTGCTGGCAAGGGCAGGGGCACAGGGGGACCTGCATGCTCACACCCAGCAAAAATGAAGCTAAAAATACATCTCGCTTCTTATTCTTTAGCACTTTGTTTCACCACAAAACCAGCTTGTTCCCAGCTCAGACACACCTGGCTCTGCAGAGCAAACCTGCTGCGGATGGCAGGGCCCTGGGGCTCCGTGACTGCCCGGCATGCAGGAGAGGTTTCGGACGCTGCGTGGGACCACCTCTCCCCCTCCCCGCCCAGCACTTCCCCTTTGCTGCTCGGGGCCCACGGCGATGGCACCATGGACCAGGCGTGGTACAAAGCACAATGTTCGTGGTGCTCCCAGGTCCCTCCGATGGGAAGGTTCACACCAAGGTACATGGTGCCATTTGGCCGTGATCTAGCGTTTAAACATTGTGACGAGGCAGTAATTACCAGAGCACAGTTCAGATCATCTTACCATCATGGACCTCTCCAGCTCTACCTCCTGGAGCAGCTCTGCGAACTCCTTAAAGGACTCGGCTGTAAAGAAAGGAAGAGGCTGGTCAGTGGAGCTGGGATGTGGCACCGGAGCATGGGACACTCGCTGGGGTACCCGAGTCTGGCTGCACCCCCAGCATTGCTGTCTAAAGGCTTGCCAAAAAATAGAGAAGAGGTGGCCCCTTTTGGCAGAAACTGAGCGAGGCCAGGCACTCAGTGAAGGCTGGCCACGAGGGGTGTTTATTTACGCACTGGAGAGGAGGGCCTCCTGCCTGGAGCAACGTGGGAGATAACACCCTGGGAAGGGAAGCCGAAGTTAATTAGCTTTCATTAGGGACTGTACTGCAGAGCCGGTAGGGCAGGCGGCAGGGAGGGGGCAAACGAGGGGAAGGGGCAGCTGCCGGCACCAGGGACCGCGGCGGGACAGGCTCTGCCGCAGTGGGGGGCTGCGGGCAGGATGGGGCTGCCTGTCCTGCCGGGATGGCTGCCGGCAGCGCCAGAACGGGCCCGGCACCTCCGCCTGAGCTGGGAAGAGCTGCAGGTGCTTTCTAGGACCAAGGCAAGTCTGCAACAGCCCAGAATGACAAAGATTAGGTTTAGCGACAAGCAGCACAAAGTCCGTGTACCGACAAAGGAAAGGCAGCAGGTGTAGAAATGGTCACAGACACTGACACCGCTCCCCAAAATGTTACACGTTAAACAAAAACATCTCATTGATCGGCACTTTTCTTGGAGTCCACTGCCAACAAAAATAACATGAAACCTTTCCTTTAACAAACGGAAACAACAAGGTTTATTTAGCCTCGGGGAAAAAAGAGACCAGGTAGGAGCAGTTGACTCTCGCGGCACCAACAGGGTTATCACCACGAGGGAACACTCGGCCCTTCCCTCTGCCCACCGAAGGAGAACACGGGAAGGGGCTGAATTTGCAGCAGGGGGGAAACCCCTCTCACCAGAAGAGCACTAACGGCACTGAAACGAGGAGCACTGCAAAAGTCTCGGTTCCCCGGGAGGCTGCAAGGCAAGGCTGGGCCAACATCTGCCTACGCACACAGCGTGGCTGCGTGCTGAATGCTTGCGGGGAATAGTCTGATTGCCCCGGTGTACCTGGGAACTACCTGGGAGTTAGCTGGGACAGGTTCCCCCACTGCCACCCTGCAGGGCTCGCAGCTGCCCTGCGCAGAGCAGCGCTGGGGACGGGCCCCGCCGCCTCACGCTCGCCTTCATCGCCGTGGGTAAGGTACAGAACGGCTTTGCAAAGCCTACACTAGTTCTTGTGCTTGCAGCTCAGACCCCGCACTCACCGCAAAGCGCGCAGAGGCACTTGAGCACTGCTGAGCGGTTTAAAGACTGTCTGAGAACGAACCAAGGAACCCCAGAAGGGCCTGGCTGACACCAGAGCTCTTGAGCAGGGTGGCATCCAGAGCTCCAGCATGCCTGGCTTGGCAGGGGCAACACACGAGGGAACAACTCGGGTGTACAGCGAGGCACGTACAGCAACAGCTCATCCCAGATACGGGGAGGGGATGCATTTGTGCTCTGTCTGCAAGCTGAGGGCCCTCTCCCCACATCCATAGGTGGTACCTCAGGAGAAATACCTGTCCTTCTGCTAAAAAACAGCCATAACGCTGCTGCACAGCCAGCAAGTACGAGCTTCCAGCGTTAGGGGATTCACTCTGCAGTTGCTGAGACAGACACAAAAGGGAAAAACCACAGCCTCGTGACACAGGCCCTCAGCTGGCATCATCAAAACATAACCTTCTTGATGAGTCAGTAACTTCTGAGTTCTCTTCCGTAGCGAGGGCTTCAGAGCCTGGCACATGCGACCTCCTAATAGTGTATTACGCTTGACCACAGGGCCGACCGACACGGTGACTGTCCCTGTGGTTACTCGGGACGATGTGAAACCTGAAGTGCACACAGACACCAGGAGCCCAAGCCAGGAAAGGAATTATCACGGGGAGAAAGAGAATCCAGCCCTGACTTACAGGGAAAATGTCAGTGCCTAACATTTTCACTAGATGTTTTCCTCCTTGCTCCACAGGAAGAGCCCAGGCACACGTTTCCTGGCTGCAGTCGCAGAGCAGCCCACTGAATTTGTCCTTGCACCACAAACACCCGCCTCCAGCGACACCCCGCTGCCAGGCCCGCGGTGCCCAGGAGCGCCGGGGTGGACCTGCACCACCGGCCTGGGTCAACGCCTGCAAACCCTCGCAGAGCAGGGCAGGGCAGGGCAGGGAGGCTGCCCGCCACCGCTGCCAGCCACACCACACCTGGGAACCGCCTGGGAGTGACTCAGCCAGCCTCCGACAGCAGCACGTCAGGAGTGTCAGCTGCTTAAAACCAGAGGACTTTGGGTTCCCGTGCCTGGGAGGGAGGAACACGCCATCCGATTTCATTGCTCCATTCACCTCTGAAGGAGCCGGTGATTCGGGTCCCGTGCGGGTGAGCGGCGGAGGGACCGCAGCCGCTGCGTAACGCGGGTGCGTCTGTAACGATAAACGTCCCCGGGGGAAAGCGCCGCTCACGGCAGACAACATCAGCCCAGCGTCTGTGCCCTGACTCGCACTTGCAGCGTTCAAAGCCGCCACCTGACGTGCAGGAGTGTCAGCCCGCTCTCTGCCTACATAAAAAGAAATGAGTGCGCCATTAGCTGTATGTACAGATCAAACACGTTCCCTGAAGTACGATAAGAAGTGCTTGTGAATGTTTTGCTTCATTCCCATATCCTGCACATCAAATGAGCTCCTACGCTCCCACGCAGATCTCTGGCACCCTTGCAGGAGATGGAAGCTGCTATGGAGATGTCAACGCCCTGCTGCTGTTTCGGGAATAAGGGAGCCTTGCAAGGCGGCTCAGCCCCAGCAGGCACTGCAGGGTTCGGTGCAGGAGGAGGAACACAGCACAGGCTTTTTCACAGGGGAAACCAGGGACCTCTTCTTGAAAAAGCAAAACAAATATGCCCCAACAAAAACAGAAGTAGAGAAATGCGCTCGTTTCACCACAGAGTGTTTTACATTTGCTGTGATCTCTTCTTCCTCTCCTCCGCCCACGATCCCCCCATTCAACCTCTGCCATTTCCAGCAGTCTTCCTTGCCTGCCAAGCGCCGCGGCCCCACCACACCGGCTCACCACACCGGCTCCCCGCAGCCCCGCCGCACCGGCTCACCGCTGGCAGGCTCAGGGAGGCAGGCAGAGAGGCAGCGCAGGGGCGCGGGACGCTGGAGCTTTGTCCCTTCCAGCCAGGAGGAGGGACGCTCCTTTCCTTGCGTGGCTGTTTGCTTCGGATCCCTCTGCTCCCAGGAGGGGCATTTATAAGGCAATGTTTTACCCTCCCTTATTCAGATGCGTTTGGAAATTCAGCACCTCTATTGCCATTAGATTTGGAGGCTGACTCATTTCCAGTGGGTTTCACCTAGAGACTTTCCATAAAGGAAATCCGATTTTGAAGGGCAAGCTGCAATCTGCTTTAAAATGCCTTAAATAAAACAACTGAAAGAACAGGCTTTACTTCCTTCCCCTTTCAGCGACGGCTGAGAGACCCGACATCAGCAATATCACACTTGCAGCCGCTCTCCAACAACAGCCTGACAAAAGCTTTTTTTCTCTTTGTTCTTTTTCCCTGTGTCCAGCCCAGGCAGGCGCCCCCGGGGTGCGCCCAGCTGTGGAACCTGCACAGTGGCACCGGGCTGGCGCGGACGTCAAATGGCTTCAGGATGGCTAATCCTGAGCAGATGCGCGGGGACCAGTACGGCATACGTGCCACAGGCTTCCCTTCCGCGACGGCAGAGACTGGCGATTATTTGCCGTACAATGACACATCCAGCAATTCATTTGTCCCGACAGCTTGCAGCCTGCTCCCTTTTTCAGGGCAGCACAGGGCAGCTCTGTTTTTGCAACGTGTTCTCTGCCGAGCAAAGGCAGCTTTAGGAGCAGCGCCCGCCTGGATTGGGAGATACACCAGTGCTCTGGGCCGTGTGTGCTCCCAGTCCACCTGCGGCACTGGGAAGCGGGACTTGCTGGGATGCCAGTGCCATGCCGCCATCCTCCCCAGCGCCTGGCAGCACGGAGCAGGGCTGGAGCCACGGCAAACCTCCACAAACTACCCGCTGAACTGGGAATGTGAAACTCTACCCATGAACGCTCAACTTTGTAAAATACGCTATGGGATAGCTGACTGGCAGCTGAGGAACCCGGCTCCTGATGCTGTTTAAAAACCATCAACACAGGCAAATTCCTAGAGGAGAGACTTTCTCAGTTACTGAAAGTTTGCATCAAAAAGAAGAAAACTTACCAATATTAATCTCATCATCTGTTAGTGTGTCACCAATAAAGTCGAACTGAAAGGACTGCAAAGTCTGGGAGAATTTCTGTACTGCCGATGAGTAACCTGGAAAAGGACAGAGCAATAAGGCTGTGTATTTTTGCAATTGCTATACAGAAGTGGCAAGTCTTAGAAATTTAGCCTGAACGGAACAAAACTATAGTGAGGTGGTTCAAAAAATCCATAGTCATCATGAATTTAAAGCACGTTAGAAAATGTTGCAATGTTAATAACCATTAGAGGATACAGAGAGCATTTGTTTTGTTTTGTTTTCTTTTGCTTTCTCAGTGTTGTTGAAAATGCTGCTGCAGTACTAATGGATGCACCGAGTCGTACAAACGGCCCATCACTAGCCCGGTGTCCTGCTACGCACAGGAAGAGATACAGACACGTTTCCCCTGCAGGAAAGCACGCCGCTTCAAACGCAGCATCCCCCGCCGCCCCGGGAACCTTTTCAGAGAAGCAGACACGCACGCATCAGCACAGCTCCTCGGCGCACGGAGGCTGTCGGACAGGCTTCTCGCTGTTCAAAGTAGCTTTTTCATTATATGGGAGAAAAATCTGTAGAGTCCGAAAATAAATGTGGGGAAAAAGATAGGACTCAGAATAACTGCCCCTCTTTAGGGGGTCACAGACACAAACAGGCCCTAAGAGGAGCACGACAGTGCCGCAGCTGAGCGCCGTCAGCCGGAGGGCTGCGGCTGTGCTCAGCCGGCACCTGCAGATGGCCCTGGGACCCGCTCCTGGCCCGCTGGTGAAGAAACGCTCAGTCTTGAAGCAAAGACACTTCCTGACGGTGGCTGGTAGCTCAGCCCAAATTAGTTTTGGACTTTCCAGAGAAGTTTTTAGCCAAAAGGATCCTCTGTGCCTCTGCATCCTGCGCGGCTGCCTCACAGCTTGGTCAGTGGCTCCGCTGTCGGGAAGGCACCTGCTGACACTGGCGGGGGGGCGCCGCGGGGGGGCGGGCCAGCCACAACGCAGCAGACCCCGGCGCCAAAGCCGCCCAGCTCGCGACAGCCCCAGGTAACGCTTCGCCGCAGCAGACACCAAGCCCTCCTCCCGCCGGCAGAGCGCAGGAGGGACGCGTGACGGATTTGACAGCTTCGCATCAACCACAGCTCCCCGCACGAAGCTGCACGCTTTTTTGGGGTTTAGTCTTTCTCCAACAGCAAATACCCGAGATACAAACAGGAGGAGGCTGAACTTCCCTGACCTCAGGGAGTAGGATGTAGACAATAAAACAAAACAAAGGAATAATTTTATACTTTGATTTATGCTGCAATTTTTCCTAATTTTGGACTGCAGCTCCAGGCACAGTCCCAGGCTGGATTCCTCAGGGGGGTGCACCAGGGACGGCGCTTTCTGCAATTCAGGAAGCTGCAAGTGTGGAAGACGGGACGGGACGGACGTTAACGCGCAACCAGCTCACACCCCCCTGCTTTGCCAAACCAGGGGAAAGATTGCTGTAACAGAGCAACGCTGTGTATATGGGCGTTTTTTTTTAATTTGTCTGTTTAAAAGAATAAGACAAGCACGATCACTTTTGGCATCAGTTGTTAGAATCCGGGGGGAAATAACGGCCAAAAATGAGGTGTGAATTAGTGAGGAATTGTGTCTGCACAGTATAGGCTACCCCTCACATTTCCAGCCTTAGGAAAATGGTGACCTGGGTGTATTTTCATCTGTTCTTTTCCATTGCGGGCTCAGTGACAAAAGAACTTATCACCACAGTGGCAAACATGGGTTTTTCTGAAACACTGCTACGAAAGGGAGAGAAAAATTGGACAACACTGAATTGGACATTGGGAAAAGAAACCAAGCGGCCCAGGCCCCCCCGGCCCTCCCCGAGGCCCCCCAGCAACCGCGGCACACGGGGACAGCCATTCCCCGGCCCGGGGAGGAGCGCGGCCTCGAAGCGTGCACAGGCCCCGCTCTCCCCTCAAAAGCCGCGTTCAGCAGTTTCCTCCGACGGGTCAAACCTTTGCTCCTGAATGGGCAGATTCAGGCCTGAATGTCGCTATTTAAGCACAGCTGCCGGGGGGGCTGAGAGCGCGTAAATGGGTGAACTCCGGCACAGAATGATGTCATTGATTTGATGGAAAACCCCAGCAAATAATTCACTCTCAGTCCCTGCAGCGTTCGCTTCAGGCTCTCATTCAGTTGTCGCTCAGGGGAATCTTTGTTCGTCCCCCTGCAAACCCTCGTCGTCTTCCCTGGACGCCGCCGATGGCCCTCGCCCAGCCCCTCCTCGCTCCTCGACTACGTTTGTTAGTGGGTGAACTTCAGTCACTCCATCCGAACACCCATCCGAACACCCATCCCGGCCCAGCGCCAGGTCCCTGAGCAGCCCCTCCGAAAGCCAGCGGCACCCGAGGCGGCTCACTGCATCCCACCCTGCTGCACCCCCGCCAGCATCCGTCCGACCCCCTCCGCAGGCGCTGGCCGGGGTGCGGGCAACGAGGCACCGGCGACGGGGCACCGGCCAGCTCTGTCCGCGTGCGTCCCCGTGAGCCAGGCGCACGGCTGCACACCCGAATCCCACTCTCGGCGCCTGTGGGGACGGAGGATTTGCACGCACCATTTTTCCATCGCCTGTGTCAGCACAGCGTTTAGCCCCAGCATCGGAGAAATGGTCCTTGGCCAGCTGCTGGCCTTTTTGGGTTCTGTAGAAACAGGGGGTAGGGCAATAGCAGAGAAGGGTTTAAAAAAGCCAAAGACAATATATTTTAACCAGAAAAAAAGAAATGGTATAGCTGATTTAAGTTACATTTTCCTTTCAAAACGTTGTCTGGCCTGAAGTTTATCTGCCAGTTTTCTAGCTGAAGGAAATCCAGGTGGACTTGCTATAAACCACATCTCACATTAGCTTAACAGTGAAAAAAAAATGAGTGCCCCTTAGTTCAACGCTCTTTGGTTTCGCTTGGGACAAGGAATCTTTTTCATCTTGGGGAGCCATCCTCATCCTCGCCTTCAGCGAAGCCGAGTGTAGGAAGCCCCGCCGTGAGCAGTGACTGTGTGCATTCACCCTGGCGTGCCACCCCGCTGCCGGAGCCGACAGCCATCCCCGCTGTCCCACGCCGAGGTGGCAGTCGCCGAGGACATCCCTGGGGTGGCGGGGGCAGCTGCCTGGCGCAGCCCCCACCATAGAAAAACAACTGTGGAAGCTTTAGGGTTAGGAAAGGAGTGGACAAGCCGGAGGGAGAGCCAGTGCTGCAAACGCCTGGCGTGGAGCCGGAGGAGTGTTTAATGGAAACCAGACTCCTACAGACCAACGTGACTCGTCCTCGCACACGTACAGAGCCTTGGCTGAACACCGGCTTCTGACAAATCCTATATATACACGCAGGACGGACAGCATCGGGTACCGCTAGGGCATTACGGGTGTTACTGTAACGATGGGGTGTTTATTGGGAAATTAACATGGGGATGACTGCGGCAGCTGGCCCCGCCGCAGCAGCGCCTGCTGGCACCACCGCCACCGAGGGCGGAGAAGATGCTCGCGCCCGGGGGGCTGCGTCCCTGCGGGGTCCAGCAGCCAGGACAGCAGCAGGGCCCGGTGCAGAGCATCCCCACCCAGAGACACTTGGCGGGAAGTCGCCCCTTCCCTCGGTGGCACCCGAACGGCGGCGTGGTGTCACCAGGGGCCGGGGAGAAAGGGATGAGCCACGGCCACAGGAAAGCAGCTCGACAGCAGGAAGGGGCCACCGCGCTCAGCAGCTGGAGCTGGGCAGGAAGAGATCAGCTGCCTGGAAAAATGGGGCTGCATCTCCACGCTGGGAGAGATAAGCCCATATTCTCCCTCATTTTAACACACACTCGGAAGCCTTTTCCCCCCTGACACAAACACACAGCTGCCAAACGCCCCCCGCTTTGCACACCCGAAGCCTGGCAGTGGGGAGAGGGTGCGGGCTGGAGAGAGGCAGCTACAGGGTCTGCCCTGCTCATGCAGCACCAGGAACGCGTGCGGAGAGCTGGACCGTTGCTGAAGGACTAACGCTCTGCTTGCAAGCCAGGGCTATCGCTGCAACCAGCATCCAAAGCCTCGCCACCGCCCGACAGCCCCGAAGGACCCTGCCTGCTCTTGGTACAGCTCAGCCCGTTTCCGTGGAAATGCACCAAAATGAATTCGATCAGGAATCCTCTAGGACTCTTCTTCCTTACAGCGTTCAGTAAGCGATGCCAACTTTCACAATTTGCGGTCACAGTAATTTACTCTCCTAGTAAAAATAAAGTCCCATCACCCTGCACAGAACAACCCCAGCCAAGCTGTGCTTGGCAGGAGGGAGGGAAGGAGTGCCAGCTACAGCCGCACTCATCTTAGGAGATACAGAAAGAACTTTCTGGTTGTATTTATGTATATATAAACACATCTCCAGAGATTGCAGCTATTGAAGGATGTGCCCCACAGCCTGCTCAGCAACGACCTAGCGGGGATTCTCATTTCAGCCTGTCACAGCAACCATAGGTAACCGAAGACTACAAACAAAAAAAAATTTGCTTCTTTGCAAAAGCCACATGCCTCTGAAAAAGCACGGATTACAACCAGGAGCCCTAAAACAGGCTGTGGTTCTGCTTTTTCCCCCCAACGCTTAGAATTTAGAATAGAAGGAAACCACCGCCGCAGGACAGGCCCCGCGGGGGATGCGGCCCCGTGCACCGCCTCACGCTGCCACGGGGACGAGCGGCTGGGGCCGCAGGACGGGGGACGGCGGGGGGGGTCCGGGGGGTCGAGGGGCGGCTTT